TGAATATATCTGGCCTGATTTCTCCCCCCACCTCTGTAGCTAATAACTCATTTATCATCTGCGACCTATTAATGACCATCTTCAGTAGAGCCGTAATACCATCAGGAAGAGGAGAGACACTCTTTGCCTTCCTGTTGCTGCTAACATAATTGTTACAGATCATCTCCATTCGAATGCGGGTGCAGGTGTTTGGTTTTTTTCTTTGCTTTGGGACCGAGTACCTTTATCTTTGTCAGATGACAGTGTCAATTTGGCTTCAAAGCCGGTCAATGCTAAAAACAGCCGTTTGTACATTTTTCCCTTGATAAAAGTGGAGTGGATGCATTTGATCAAATCTCTGTTGCATTTAAATTTCTATGGGGAGGAGGAAAAAAAGTCATCTTATGTTGACTAATGTGTTAATTAAAAAAGCACCCCAAACCAAATAAATTATAATACAAAAACACCACAAAATTTACATTCTTGCATATGGAAATGTGTGCATTAGAAAGGTGATAGAAGATACAGTTCATGTAATGCATGTAATTACATATTCTGTCTTCACTCTGTGGTTTCACATTACTATACTGCCCGAAGCTGGCACTTTTCAATCCATGAAATCCACAGACTGTATATTAAATATAGACATCCTTAAACCCCCAGACTCTAGCTTGATCATCCATGCTATCAGAAGTAACCAAGTATGCTAAGCTAACATCGAACTCCAGTAAGGATAGTTACCAAGCTTGTTCCATAGACTCCGTGTGTGCATCATATACAGATACCTGCTGAAGTAATGTGAAAATAAAACATTACCACACAGCAGTGAATATTATTCCCAGGAGGATATCTTTACAAACTAGTACAGAAAGAACCAACATCACAAACAGGTTATTGCAGTAAGTAAATAAGTAAGCTATAGAAAAATTAAAAACCTGTTTATTTCTGCTGTGAAGTTAGTTTTGGAGCATGGACGATGAAAAAAGATGGATTTAGCTTCTGCGCTGAAAATATGAAGCCAATTCTGAAGTGACTTAAATCTGCTTTCTATCTCAAGGCCACCAGATGGCGATAGCTGTGGTTAGCCTATTAGCCCCTTTCCACCAGTACTTATTCGGCTCAATCCGACTAAGTTTGTAGGGTTTTTGATTAGGTGGTAGTACCTGCACCACTAAAATTTTTAGTAACAGCTCAGCCGGTATGACACCAACAGACAGCATGCCACCGACTGGCAAGTCACTGCCGTCACTCAATGAGTGAAATGGCAACGAGACAATGGCAACACAAAAATCAGCACCCTGGTCTCAGAGCCTGACAAAAAGCCATACTTAGATATACCATCGCCTCGACATCCTCCGTTTTAGTGTTGTGTTCGTGTCACATAGATATGACCTCACAGGGTTTTCGGCCGCGTTGTTATAGCAACCTGATGCACATTAGGTGGCACTCAACTGTAATGGAAAAAGAGAGAAACCCAGTAGAGTTGAGTCAAAGCACGCCGAGTTGCACTATGTACAACTGGAAAACAGCTACATGTGAAATGGCTTTCTGCTCTGACCTCTGTAAACACTTTCCTGCTGAGTTATGGTCTCACTAACTCAATATGAATTATATTGAATTATAAAATTAAATCTATTTTGTTACTTGTGGTCGCACAATGTTTCAAACTGGAACCTTATCAGTGATATGAAACCGTCGTTATCCAATGAGTGTGTGGTTACACAGTCAGACCCGCTGCTCCCCACCAGCCTTCAAAACCAAAGGGTGATGTCATTATGCTACACATTATCAAGTCACTTTAACCTGTGGGTTATTGATGGGGTCAGTTAAGTAGCAGAGGGGATTGTTAATCAGTTTTAGCTACTTTGGTATTAATGAAATTAACAACTGTTGCACTAGAGGGGTAACAATGAGACAATCCACAAAGCAGGAATGTTTTTACAGCTGGAGGCCACGGACATTTTATCTGACTGGATTTACATTATTTTAGCATTTGGCTAAGATCAGTGTCATTGCTGGTAGCACGAGGCGATACCTGGACCCTACAGAGGTTGCACAGGTAGTCCACCATCTCCAGGGTGGCACATCAATATGTGACATTGGCAGAAGGTTTGCTGAGTCTCCCAGCACAGTCTCAAGATCATGGAAGCGATTCAAGGGGACAGGCAGTTACTCTAGGAGAGCTGGACAGGGCCGTAGAAGGTCCGTAATCCAACAGCAGGATCAGTATCTGTTCCTTTGTCCAAGGATGGACAGGATGAGCACTGCCAGAAGTAGAGCCCTACAGAATGACCTCCATCAGGCCAATGGTGTGAATGTGTCTGACCAAACAATATGAAAAATGGGCTTCACGAGGGTGGCATGAGACCCCGAAGTCCTCTGGTGGACCTGTGCTCCCTGCAGAATTGGCAGGTCAATCACTGGTGACCTGTACTTTTCACAGATGAGAGTTTGGTGGTGGGTTGGTGATGGTCTGTGGATGCTTATCCATGGAGTGCTGCACTGCCCTCTATAGACTAGGCAACAGCACCCTGACTGCCATTAGGTATCTGGATGAAATCCTTGTGCTTGTTGTCAGACCCTACACTGGTGCAGTGGGTCCTAGTGCATGACAATTCCCGGCCTCATGTGGGGAGAGTATGCGGCAGTTCCTGGACCCCACACTCGCCTTACCTAAATCCACCAAAACACCTCCGGGACGTTTTGTTTTGGTCCGACACCACAAAGTTGCTCCTCAGACAGCCCAGGAGCTCATTGATGCCCTGGTCCAGATCTGGGAGGAGATCCCCGAGGACACCATCTGTTGTCTCATTAAGAGCATCCCCGACGCTATCAGCCATGCATACAAGTATGCAGGGACCATACAAACTACCAAGTACCATTTCAAGTTGCTGCAAATTAATTTTCTGTCAAATGGACAAGCCTGCCGCATTGTTTTTCCACTTTGATTTTCAGGGATCTTTGAATTCAGCCCTCTGTAGGAGTCCTGTCACTCCTAACACATTATCCAGTCCGTATCAGTCCAGATATCCAACATATTTTTTTTCCTCATTGAGATCTGGTGTATATTAAAAACTTTCTTTTAGCTTTTTATTCATGAGAAAAATGTCATGACAGTAAAACCACAAAGACCTGGCACGATTGGTTCAGACTGAGTGTAACACATTAAACTGTAGTTACTTCACTGTTCACAGCTCGGTTCACCACAGAGCAGCAGTAACATAAAAACCCGGAGTAATGGCTACATCCAGCAAGATATTTTTACACGATAGCTAAAATAACCGCACACAGCAGACTGATTGTTCCTCGACATGGCATGAAAACAGTTTGTACACAGAAAGCAGACTGAGTCATTTATAGTTATGTGGTACTACAACATGCAGATGCATCCACTAAAGCTCCACGGCACCTTCATCTGTTCCACAACCAGAATAGCCAGGGTTTCCGCTCTCCAATTACACAACATTACTTCATCTTTTGGCCTCTTTCTATCCCACTCACAAAAAAAAAAAAAAATCCCATCTCCATAGCAACAAACTCTCATCCATAGTTCACAAAAATAATTGTTTGCTCCCGCATCAAACAGTTGTTCCGTGGAAGCTGTTAAATTTTGAGAACTTGTGCGTCTGTGCCCACCTTTGGTATATTTAACATAAAAGCCCAAGGCCTCTGACTTTTCTATTTATGTCCTTTGTGTGCTTCTGCCTCTATACGCTGCCGCAGAGGCTGAGGTGGAAGATAGGTGACTGCGCCGGTCCAGACGGTCTTAAAAGCAGGACTGTTCATTATTCACATGTCCTTGGGTTGAGTGGATGCATGTCTGTATTGCTTGTTATTGGTCAGCTCAGCTCTGATGCTATCACATAAAGGCACAGATGCTGGAAAAAAAAGCACTTAAATAAAAAAGATGTCAATGTTTCTCCTGCTTGTTGCCCCAGAAAGACAAAAGAACTTGTCGCCTGGTGATGCGATGACGCCACCATGGAAATGTTTACCTGTTACAAAGGTGGTAAGACCACACTAAGCTAGCTTAGACTTCTGAAATTAGCAAGAGCACATTCGACTAATTTAAGTTTATTAAACCGCAGATATTTAACAGATTTAAATGTCTTTTGTTTATATTTATGTTGCAGTATAGGAATTTCTTTCAACCCACAGGATAGCAGGAATCATGCTGGAAAAAAAGAGAGTAAATTCAGGATTGACCTGATTCTACGCTCCCTCTTATCTCCCTTAAAATGTCAAGTACCTGAATGCGCTGATCAGGCCATGAAAGTACTTATATATATTATGTCCTTGAGTCCCAGAGATTAGAATTTCCATTTCAGGCAGAAAGCCTCTAGAAAAACCAAACATCACATGCTGAGTGAAGAAAACTGGAAAGGTTACTGAGCCTTATCTGCAATTATGCAAAAACAGAGAGATTGGCCAAACCCATGTTCATTGCTACAAAGGGAATCTACAATGCCTTGATGTTGCATTCTCGTCTCGTAGTGCAGATATGTAGCACGCAGCACATCCTAGAGGAGGCTATAGGCAAGAACAGCTGACTGTACACTACTCACACCTAGTCATGTTTTGAATTATGAACACAGGCAATTAAACTTTAAATCCCCCCTTAGTAAGAAGATAGAGCCGACTAATTAAGTAAGTCCTTTTTAAATTTGGTTTTAATTCAGAGCTCCTCGAATGCCAAGCCGGCGTAGAGGATCAGATCAAAACAAGCTTGGTTTACTTTCATTCAAAGCTTTGCATTTTTGTTTGTGTTACATTCAAGTACCTAGTTTATTCCAGCATTAGAAGGGAACAAAACAACAAATCTGAAAATCTTCACTCTGTCTGACCTTCTTCTATCAGCAGCACTGACATGGAGCTTCTCAGATGTTGACAACTCCACTTCTGGACTCATTGTGTCATCTGTTCTCCGTCTCTCTCTTTTTTTTTTCCAAAGGAAGAAAGACAAGAAACAAAGCTTTGCTACAAAGGTCACTCGGAAAAACCTGCTTCTTTCTCTCATTTATTTATTTTTTTCCAACAAACACCGGGGGAATAAAAATAGTTTGGTTTAAAAATAATGGCTTTCATCTTCATTTATGCCTCTGAATATTCAATATGAGAGCAATGGTGCCCCCTTGTGTAAAATATAATTAACAGTCTGATAGTAAATATGCACCTAAGGTCAATTATAATTGAATCTGATAGCACAGCTTAGAAACGAACAGTGTTATTTAACCGTGAAAGAGTGTGATTGATCACCTTTACAGCAGCTTCTGAGGTCCAGCATGTGTTTTTAACATTTTTTATTCCACATTCATACAATTCCCTCTGCAGTAAACCTGTATTGATTCTCTCAGAGGTGAAGGGCGCTCCCTCTGTCCGTCTTTAGCCTCTCCTGCTCTTCACAAGGACTGCAGCTCTATCCTCCGCTGTCAGAGCTCTGTGCACTCTGCACCGCTCGCGGCTCAGTCAGGCGGTCGTAGGACAGCGCTGTCATAACCTGTGAAAATGTACAGTGTGATATGGCTTTGGAGAATAGAGAGAAGCAAGTAATAAGTAGAGGCTATCAAAGACATGCTGAGTTAAAGATTTTACTGGCTAGAACAGCCTGTGGCTACTGTTTTTCACACTGGATTGGTGAAAAAAAAAATTTTTTAAGCAGTAGCTTCGGCTAGTTTCAAACAGGGAAGGTAGATGAAGGACAGAAAACGGAGCTCTTTCTCTCTGCTGACATTAAAATTAAAATAACCATTAAAGATTTTGTAAGCGTTAAATGATCAGTCTGAAGCCACACTCGTGTCTATGCTAAATGTGAAGCTACAGCTAACCACACAGCTTAACTTAGTTTAGCATGCAGAATAAACATAAATTCAAAAGAACTATTTGGAATTTTATCACCAAATTACTTTTTTTTTTTTAAAAACAACAGTAGAATGTAACATGTTATATTCCAGTGAGCTTTCCCGCCTGCTAGTTTGTAGCGTCTGTTTTCAGTCTCAACGCTATGTGAAGCTAAAGTAAGCTATCCTTTAGCAGAAGGCGATTTTCTTAAAGCCATACACAGTCAGTCTGCCTAATGACCAAGACTATATTAGAGAGACACACTACCCAGACAATCACGAAATGAACTATGGGATAATCCAAAGCACAGATGGCTGTATTAAATATAAGTTTAAAGGGGAGAAAGGCGTTTTAAACCGTATTTTGAGCTTTTAACAGATTATGGAGTATATATATAATCTAGGGAAAACTAAAAGGAACATTTTTGGTTCAGTCGCACTATAGCAAAAATTGAGCAACAACCTTCTTGCAACTAGGAAAAATTGGTGATTGCAGGGTTTATGCACTGATGTTGTTTGTTGTGTTTTGTCTTTCTCCCCTCTCACCCTCAATCGGTCGTGGCAGATGGCCACCCTTCACTAAGCCCGTTTCTGCCGGAGGTTTCTTCCTGTTAAAAGGGAATTTTTCCTTCCCACTGTGACCAAAGCACTTGCTCATAAGGGGTCATCTGATTGTTGGATTTTTTTTTTCTGTATTCTATGTATTATTTTAGGACCTTTACTTAGGGCTTAAAATCTGGGACTGTCCACCAATTGCTCTTAGAACTGAAGAAGCTTCTCAGAGGAGAGATGAAACGTCTTCAAGAAACCTAAAGAAGTCCAGACGCTTTTCTTTTAAACCTCCTTAGACTATGATGACCTGGATGACTGAGAACCTTCACAGACATAGGTCTTAACCTTACAATCTGGTTGTTCAGTGATGACACGACGAATCCTACTTCCGGGCCTAAAGTAGTCTGGTTTAATATGGCTTTTGTGTTGTTAACATGTTTAATGTTATGTATTTTCTTCTATTTGATCTCAAAAACCTCCTAAAACAGTCAGTGATCACTGCTGACCTCCCTCGGCTTTTATTACCGCTAATCATTTATTTAAGCTCAGTTTTTAAAACCTTAGGATGTAACTACAGCCCAGCCCATGCAGCAGTATATGAATGACTAACCTCGTATTGTGGATGGATTATCTCAGTTGTTCTCCTGGCTGAAGTTTGGTCCTTTTACAGCATCCTGCCATGCGATTACATTTGTTCCTGACCACCGAGAACACTCACGTTAACTTTTATTGAGTGGAAAAAAAAGTTAGCTTGTTTATATTATGCTAACATAGCTGTGTCGCTAGCGGTCACGTAGCACATCATTATATACCAGCTAGCCCAACTTCAGTAACCCTACAAACGCCACTGCTGTTTAGTTTTCTGTCTTCATTTATGCTGGAAGTGATAACAGAGCTGTACGTTTTAATTTCTTTCCAAAACCCTGCAGTCAGGACATGCTATATTGTATTTAGATAGAAGCTAGTGAGCTAACTCCCTGCTAACTTCTAACTCCGTTAAATGTCATAAATTCCGTTTTCATGGATGCCTGGATGTTAAACTCAATTGTTACACCTGGTAGAGCAGAACGCTGATCATTTTATTAAAGATGAAAGACTTTAGACAGTTTTTCAACTCTCAGTAATGCCATAGTGATGTTTGATATATGGACCTGCAGCGGAGTTTAGACCCAGACACGGCTAGTGACGTCAGACTGAACAACCGGATAAAAAGTGCATGGAGGCAACTGTTGTTGTGATTTGGTGCTATATAAAAAGAATTAAGCTGAACAGAAAAGTTTGTGGCGCGCACTTTTAATACTAAGGCAACTGCACAGGTGGATGATCATGGTCCCCCTCAGACTGACTGCAATCACTCTCAGATACCTTGTAGAGGTTGCCAGCTCACTGCAATCAATCAATTATTCTGCACCAAAGAGTGCAACCTGTCTGCAATAGGTCTCCTTGCAACAGGGGACTTGACTCAAGTGATTGCAAAACAAAATTAATTCTCTATTTAAGCAAGCTTGCTGAACGCTTATGTCATTTTGCAGTTAAATCGCTGTCCTGCAGCAGCTACATCACTACTTCTGGAGGAATTTCAGGTCTGGATCTATGACGTAAACGCTACAAGCTATAGCTTAGCTTAGCACTCTATAAAGAATAAAAATTTGAACAACACAAAACTTTCCAGTTTCTCTTTTGTATCGGTTAAATAACTGTATATGGCATGTCTTATCCCGTTGGTTTATCAGTGATAGTAGATATGTGTTAGTACCACATAATAGATTACATGCTAAGCCAAGCTAAGCTAAACACCTGACAGAACACAGCCACATAGCCAGTCTGTGTAACACTACACTATTACTGAGCGCCTTGTTCTACTTACTGTGATCATAAGAAGTAGTGCCAGCATCATGCCCAACATTATGTACAAATTATTAGTCAATCCTCCAGCCCACAAGGGACCCAAGATTGTGGCCAGGCCCCCAACTGAGCGTCTGACACCTTGGCTGAATCCTTTTGGTGAGGTATCACAAAATATTAGGTTATTTATTTCAGATATAAACATAACAATATGGCTTTAAAGTTCGCTACGTGTAATTTTTTTTTCTATGCATCACATGCGCTGAGCAACAATCTGTTGTTTTAATGTGTTGAGCCAGCACACGGTGCCAAGGTAATATGAGCCAACCTTGTGTTTTCTCAGCAGTGACTTTGGAGAAGAGAGACACCTGAGACACGGCCACAAAGGGAAGCCCCAGCAGCTGCAGAAACACTCCGATGATGAAGGCCGACAGCTCCCATCCATAACCACCTGGCAGGGGTGGGAAGATGATATCACAGGATCGCTAAATTAAAGTAGTTTATCACAGAGTAAATGGAATACATAATTCAGCAATTACCTTTAGCGCAATCCAACATAAACCCTCGCATACCTATATTTGATAGACCTAGTGGCCAATAAATATGACAGTTCTGAAGCTTCTTATTTCTCATGTGGAGTCATGATCATTCAAAGAGTGTGGCAGATCATGCTTCGGTTGCCCAGCTCGTCCGTCCGTCAGTTTTTAAGTTTCTCCCACAAATGGGCTGGCAACACCAGAGACGGCTCAATCCGAAAAACGAAACCCCTGCCAAGCTGGCAACCACTTGATTTTTGTTCTCTGCTGCTTTGCATCATGCACATGCCTGTATGAATTTGTGCCGACTCTAATTGTTGGAAGTTCTTGCATGAGCTGAAAGTCTATCATTTTACGATCAAATTACAGTTTCACCAATCAAACATGCCTCTCGGTGGCCCCAAAGGATAAAATAGTTTTTCTTTAGGTGTCTTTCTTTCGGGTTTTATGTCTTTGTTCGGTTGCTTTAACCACAACGGTTAACAAATGGCAAACAAATGACAGCCACGCTTTAACAAATAGCATTTTTGCTAAATTTGATTACTCTAATCCTTTTAAATGTACTCAGGCACTACCCAGCTCCAGCACCTGTCACTTGTAATCAGAGCGATAAACGTGACGAGCTGCAACAGACGCAGGCCAACATTAACATACAGGATCCGGTTTGCCTCTATGGTATCCTGCTGAATGATATCATTTACAGAGCACACTCAGTTCAGCCAGTGTGTAACCCAATATGGCTCTGCTGTGCTCTACACACCGACACTGGTGGAACAGAAAGGATTTGGCTCAGAAAAAGAGGCATTTTTGTGTCTGTGTGTGCCTGCATTTGTGTGTGTGTGTCTGTGGGTGTGGTTTTTCACAGGCAGGTTAGCACCTCGGGGGTTGCAGAGGAAGATGAGGCACCAGATACAGGCAGTGCAGCAGATGACCAGGCCCGCTGCCAGCACGGCGCGGTCCGCCACCTTCCTGCTCAGCCAGCGTACAAAGAAGAAGCCCAGGATGACCTCCACCCCGCACAGGCTGTACATGAGGCTGTTGCCCAGCTCGCCAAAGTTGAAGTGGCGCTGCGTAAGAGGGGTCACCATGGTCTGTGAATTTTTAGAAAGACACCAGTCATTTAGGCAAAGCGGTCCATTCAGAGGTAAAGAAAGGTAACCAGAGTATCCAGTTAGGTCAGTTTAATAAGAGGTGAGAATGGATCTTTACACAGAGGCTGATTATGTGCTTCAGCATTTAACTGATTATTTTCCCAAAAGTTTAGGTCTTAGAAGACTCAGTGTTATTCACTCTGGATGATAAACAGTGTGACATAGTGTGAAATGTTTGGAATCGCTGCCTGATGGATCTCGATGGTCGCTGCTCTCACCTCCAGCGCCGTCTGATTGAAGAGAGTGATGAACTGAGCCGTGAGGACAACAACTACCTCTTCTCTCAGGAACTCTGTGCAGAGAAGGACAAAGAGAGAGATACCAGAAGAAATAAAATAGGGAAGTCAGGGAGAAAAATCCCCAAAAATCTTCAACTGCTAGCTTCAAATCGAAAGTTTCAACTGGCAAGTTAATTCGAGATCAAGAAGTTTTAAGAGAAAAGAAAAGTTGGACGATCTCAAAGCGGTTGTAAGATAGAAGGAGGCGTGACAAATCCTGGCCGCCTGGTCGTGTTGATCATGTCGTCCAAGACGCTCTATATCTATTTCTTTTGATGGAGAGAAGTATGGATTCTGATATTTATCTTATATCCAAAACATGATTACACAGGAAAAAAGGGGGGGGAAGCTTTCAATAAATTCCAAATTTTGATACCAGCTTTTCCTGGAACAAATTCCTCCTTATGGGCTTGGAGAGGAGGAAAACGAGCTGGGCTTGCTGCTAAATTTGGATGCCAGATGGCTGGAGAATCGGCTTGATATTACACTGTGTGATCCACTACAGTTCAGTTCTCTGTGTTCAGCGTTTGCACTGCTATTGACATGGTTTGATTATTTTATGTCACTGGATGTGTATGTGTGCAGGTAAATACCTGATGTGGCTTTAAAATGATTTATTGTACCTCAGAAAGTTCTGAGACAGATTTTTTTCCCCAAGATTTCCCAGCTTTTATTCCAAAGTCTGAATCTACAGACTGATTATTAGAATCAAAAATGCTTAATAATGGACAAAAAAAGTTACAAAGTGGTTGCTAGGGTTGCCAGGTCTTTGGTATTAAAGCAAAGGGCAACCACTGGAGCTGAAAATTGCCTTGCTCTAAAAGAAGGTCAATCCTAATGTTAAAATATCCAGACAGTAGAAAGCATCGTTAAAGAACAAAAAATAGTTTGTGCATTTTTTCACTTATTACAAAATCTCTGAGCAGAGAGGGGTTTTTTAAGGACTCTGGATACTAGAAGCTGGGGGCGCGGCCAATTTGACCAACAGGCATCCAGACACAAGCAACTGTAAGCAGTTTGGGTCTTCTAGGTATCACCTCTGCTAATTCAAGCCACTGAGCTGGATCTTACCTCCATGCTTGTGCTGTTGGTGCCTTTTATGACAATTTTAATTGGCTAATATGACGTGTTTCTGCATGGTACGAACTCTCCCAGAAGTTTGTTCATTGATCCTATGAAGTTTATGGAAGCAGACTGGTAACCAAACCTGCTAGAGTGAGCTGAAAACCTGATTCTTCATCCAAACATCAACTCTGTCTTCAAACACCCCCCCCCCAAAAAAAAATGGTGACAGCAAAAACATCAAAGCATCAATTCAAACGGCAAACGACTCGGAAACTAGTTTTTATCCCATCTATGGATAAAAGCAGCTCAGCGGCCAATCCAAATTAGCCCAAGATTTATTTATACTTTTTTTTAAAAATCCAGGTGGCCACTTTGATGCTTTTCCTTTGGACCTTAAAGACATGCTCTTGCTCAGCCGATACATTTTACATTTGATGCTGCACAGAAAATAAGTAATAAAAAGATCTATGAGGAAAATGCTTTGACCTAAAGATGGTTTTCTGGTGACGCCACAAGTAGACAAAGCAAAACAGCAAGTTCCACCGTTTTATTCATTGTATAGCTTAGCTTAGGAAAGAGACTAGCTAGCATGGCATTAAAATTAGCTTACCATTACTTCTAAACATTTCATCACTCGTGAGAGGAGGGGTACAACCTGAAAATATCAACCCAAAATTCAACCCTAAAACTAATCATACTTTCTTGATCTAACTGGAAAAACTAAGAAGCTATATAGCCTAGAACTGTTTTAAACCACATATTGACTTCATTGATATCATTGTTGTTAGTTATCCAGGAAGACATTTACTAGCAGAGGATCTAGCACAGAGTAAAACCTGCATTTCTTTTATTTCTATATTTTTATACATGTTAAACAAATGAAGGCATTCACTCCTGCATCTGGACTTTTTGCTCAGTATGAAAGTGGAATCTAACTCTTGATTACAAAATATCTCTTAAGTATATTTCAGATAATACATCTTTGAATGTTTCAGTCTTTTCAAGGGAGAAGAACTAGAGCGTGAAACAGAGCAGGCTACAAACCTGCAGTGCCGTGTAAGCATGTGTAAAATCTGATCCAGTTCAGATACAATACAAGTACATGGACTAAAAAAGGCAGTTGTGTAGTTTTCCTTGTTCCAAAAGCAAAGATTCACAGAGATTTTACTGGTGCTGTTATGTACTTTTTTCTTTCCACGACACCTACCAGAAAAATCAAGATTTGATGAAAGAAAGTGAAAGATCTGCCCTGATTTTCAAAGCTTCTCCACAAAAAGTCAGAAAAGATCAATAATTCAAGAGAGCGAATACCAGACACGCTGTAAGGGCTAACAGACCCTCCTACTGCATGTGCCAGAGAAAACATCCTCCGCTCCTGCTGCGTTTCTGGTGTTGTAGCTTCTCTTCGTACAAAAAGGAATCAATAAGAGGAATGTTGGCCACATTACCAATTCTGTCTCCATTTCATCCACAAGTCAACCACAGCAAGTCAGTCAATAAAAAAGGAAGTCTTCCATCCTTCCCTCTACCACGTCTTCAAAGAGTGAGAGAATCAATACAGCACATACACACAAACACACGCACTCGCAGTTGTGTCTTTAGAGGACACAACACCGACTCGCATTTCCTGGAGAGTTACTTCAGTCTTAAACACAACTCTGACCCCAACACTCACCTCGACCGTAAGCTTTAAACACGTCTGCAGCTTAAATTTAACGACGTCCCCAAAAGAAAAATAAATCCCCAGAATGTGAGTGCGTAAATCTACGATCAAAGCTTTAGGTCCTCACAACATGGTTAAGACAAATGAGTAAGTACTCAACCCACTCACTCCCAAGACACACACACAGTCAAAGAAAGTACAGAAAGGATATTGAGTAGTGGCAAACAATCGCAATCGCCATGTAAACGTACTATGACACTAATCCAATAGTGCACCTGACATCATGTATATACATGCTCTGACATAAACCAGACATGTACACGCAAGTCCAATCAATACACCGGGAATCTGATCTGACATGCTGCAGAAAATTCCTCAGAGAGACCTGGAGAATGGAAAGTGTGTGCGAGACTGAGTGAGCAAATACAAGCAAAATCAATAGAGCAGATATGAAACATGTGCATTGGCAGTGACACCTCTTCCTACCTGAACGCTGCAAAATGGGGCAGAGGAAAGCTGACTGTAATTGCTCGAGACAGGCAGTCAAACCTGCCGGCTCACCTCTGCTGGCGCTGAAGTTTCGGAAGGGGTCCGAAGCTCTGTGGACGGGTTGCATGTCAGACGAGGTGGAGGTCTCCAGTTGGTCGGAGTTGAGGGCTCTGTAGGTGTGCACCGGCTCCTCGTCAGACCCCATCAGCGGCACCTCCTCCTCTACCTCCTCCTGTTTCATCTCCATCATCGTGGCTCCCCCCTCGCAGCTAACGGGTGGTACATCCCAGTACATAGCCAGGACGACAAACTGGAGCAGCATCCACAACAGGCACATGAAGATCTGACAGCATGGAGGAAAAACCCACATGTCTTCAAAGATCTTACAGTTTAAACACACAAAAAAAGATATTTTCACAGGACCAGAATCCCTGGAAGCTTTCAGGAGAGATAAAGTGGTTCAGCTATGGAAGCGCTGCCTGGCAGAGTGAACTCTAGAGAGGGATTCTGGGTCATATTATGCGGAAAAAAATGGAAGCAGGCATATAAGAGCTTTGTTAAGTCTCATTTAAGCTTCATCCACGCTACAGGTGTTTTATTGAGGCACACTTAGATAGAAACAGATCGATACAGGTTGTTACGGGACCGAGTACCGCTGCAGGTGTTTTGTATTCCTCTTACTCACAGGAGAACAAAGGAGGAAAAATATATATGTGAGCACAGAATGTAGAGCGACTATTTCTGAAGGTTATTTCTGTATTCATGAGCCTTTCACAGAACCTTAGATTACTGATTATCTGGATGCTGTTACCCCAGGAGACGTATACTTGTTCACAACAAAGGGCCCCAGTTTGAAATCACACAGCCGCAGGAACAGGTTGAACGCCGGCCCTGTAGAGACAGGAGGAAGTGCTTTAAAGATGAGATAAATGGAAGATGTGTGGAAACAGTAGCCTGCTCCTTAGTGATTTTATTGAATGTTTTTTTCTGCTCACAGTTTAAATGAAACATCAAAAAAGAAAAAAGGGGAAAAAAGGATCACGAAATCCTTCCCGTTGTCTGATATTTCCTCACAGGGCAGAAGGGGTGGTGAGAGGTGAAATAACACCGATTTCTCTGTGGATAAGTGGAAAGGGTAGAAACTGACCAACAAGAAGACCGGCTTGTCGACCAGCCATGATGGCGGCAAATATTCCAGCTCGCTCCTCCGGCTGAGTGCTCCGAGTCAAAAAGCCAAAGATGGAGGACCCAGCTCCTGCTCCGACACCTTAGGGCAAACATATCAAACTATGATATATTACATGCATTGAGTGTTAACCGTTTTACGTAATGCATGCGTGCATGTGTGTGCATTTGTCACCTGCTACAATCCGACTGCATAACAAAAGCCACTTTGAGTATCCAATGAAATACATAAAGTTACCTGAGAAGAAATTTAAAAAAAATAAAAAATTGTTGTGAAATGCATCTTCATCTGAGGCAAGATCTTTGTTTAAATGTTTCCAAAAAAGTACTGGCTTCACCCTGTAACAATTCCATTAACTTCTATACTATTCTATACTTTGGCTAGTTGGCTAATGTTAGCATGCTAACACGCCAACCAATGACTGTATAAAAAAAAACTTTTCTTTTACTAAAAAGGTCTACAGTCATTGATTCCAACACATTCGGTGACAATAGAAAAACACTGTATCTAGTAAAGTGCACATTAACAATAATAGACGATCATGTGGTACTGCTGTTTTAGTTAGTTGATTTTAGCTGATAGTAGCTAGGTTTTAGCTAGTATTTACTAATATTTAGCTACTATTTAGAATATACTGTTAGTCTAATAGCATTCAGGTGATTTTGTTGTTTGGTTGACAACATAAATTTCTTAACAATGACTCACATCATCCCTATAATGCTTTGCTTAAAGAACAAATAAATAGTTATTTTAGAAATTCCCATAATCCATTGTGTGCATCCTGTAGATAAAAATTTGAATCGCAGAGGCAGCTAGAGAGTTCTCATTTTGAAGCCTGTACCTTCACACAAGCCTAGAGACTAGTCAGTGGCTATCTGGTAACTATGGTCACTATGGAAACATGTGCATCAACTAACAGATTAGCCAGTGGCTGCAGGAGGTTAAAGGTCCACTGTTAATAGCCCTCTCACCACTCACCAACCACAACTGCTTGGAGAGTGGTTGCTAGAGGTTGGCACGCACTAGCATGAAATTGGTCACAAAGCGGTATGGAGGTATACCGTGCGCTACCAGGAACCTTCTTGCAGTTGCTTTGGTCTCTAGCAAGTTGCTGCTGTCACCAGTAGTTTGCATGGAAGACACGTGAACCTTCTCTGTTTCAAGTCTTATTTTAGTTTTACAACAGCAAGCTATGGGGCAACTGCAGCAATCTGCTATCAACAAAAGCAATCACAAGGACGTTGTTGGTACAGTACCCTCTTTGTGACTGATTTCACCTAGTAACCTCCAGCAAACACTGACCAACACAACCCAGCGGGTGGTTGCCATGGGGTTGCCAGCCAGTATAGGTCTACATAACTAAAGCCTTTTTTTTTCTTTTTATGAAACCACACGTGATGAAGTGTGACTGACAATCACATGGCAGGAAATGGCCAAACACAATTTAGCAAGCACTTCCTGCTTAACTGTGTCTTTTATTCTAAATGAGACTCAGAACAGAATCAATATTTTGGGAAGGGACCAGTAGGGTGATTTCCTCTTTGACTTTTCTACAATCAGACTTCTTTTTGCAACTGCAGAAGCCACCTTCTGCTGGCCATTAGAAAGAAAGCAGGTTTAAATCAATTCTGCGCCTCTTTCACTATTCACTTGACTTTCTTCCTCCCGGAGGCTACGTTCAAAGAGAAATTTAGATTGCATTCAGATGAAAGGAATGACCTGATATCAGATTTTTTGTAAGCTCGGTCATCTATAAGGAATTCTCTGCGTTGCATGAGGTGAAAATAAATGCGTAAAAGATGACCCACAGAGTCTCTTCATACAGAAGCGTGACGCAGAGTCTAAATTAGTCATGTGATGTCTCGTGGCTTGACTACTTACCAACAATCTCGAAAACATTTGAGAAAAGGACAATGGACTTTGTAGTTTTGCTTCGATCTGACCAGATGCCAAATAGCGGGCCCGTGACCAGTGCACTCAAGCTGAAGGCAGACAGACCGAGACCTAGGAAGTAAGGTGGAGCCTCCAAAATCTGTAGATACCTCCATATTGTAGGAAGAATGACAGCTGAGGCCACCACAGAGGAACAACAGAGAAGGGTTGAGACGTGTGCATTAATATGCCAAAAACAACCCTGAAATGATATCCAGTTCGATATGAACTTACCGTACTCTATGCCACTCAGCATGAATATCAGTCCAATGGTGAGAAAAGTAAGATTCCTCTTTTGGTGATTATCCATTGTCCTCACTGACTTGCTTCTTTTTACATGCCAACCTCTATCTGCGCATGCTGCTCTGAAACATTCTTCAGAGCCATAATCAGATAACAAGAGACACCATGCATCCTATTACAGCTGCCGGCCCAGATAATCAGAGGAATCTGTTGCAGCGCTTTACAAGGTCACAGCAAAACTTCTTAGAGATGGACAACAAAGACGATGGGAGGCTTTTCTTACGGAAAAAGCTCAGGACGAACGAAGCCTGGACCACGTCACAGCAAACATGGAAACAATACAAACAAATATGAAATGATTGCAGTAGTCCAATTCCATTAGGCATTTATGTTAAAGATGAAATTCTGTTTGACTCCAGTCCTCGGTGTAGCACCACGCTGCGAGATCGAGGCAAGTTCTCAGGTTGCCCGGTGAGGTAAAGTACCCTGAGGTTTATACATATTTAAACTTGTTTGCTTCAGTTTCATCAAAAGCACCTCACAACCTTGTGAAAAAATGTGCAAGGCCTATCTGCCCCTTTTGGTTACACAGTAATATGCAAAAGTCTTGAGACACTCCTCATTTCTTTATACTTTTCTTCCAAGGAGGCAGACTAAAGAAGAACATCTAAAGAAGAGCCAGGGCAATAGTTCTCCAGGCCTTCTGAAGGAGTTTCAGAGTTTAAATTCAAATTAAATTAAATTCAAATTTTATTTGTCACGTACACAGTCATACACAGTACGATATGTAGTGAAATGCTTGGACAACTGCTCGTGACCTAAAGAGAACAAAAAAGGAAAAGGCTATGAATAAGATAGGAAATAAATATGAAAAATTAAAAAGGGTAAATTTAACTAGGAAGGAATAAAATATAAATTAAGGTTAAAAATGAAATAACTGTACAACACAAATTAGAATGAAGGGTAAATTTAACTGGGAAGAATAAGATAAAATATATAAATTAAAGTTGAAAATAAAATAACTGTACAACAAAATACACAATACACAATATAGAACTATATAAGAATGTATGAAGAAATCTAAATATAAATAAATATATACACAATAACAGCAGCTGTACAAGTATTAACCGGAAATGAAGAATATAGTGACCAGTGTTGTGCAAAACCAAAGTCCAGAAAGTCCAGTGTGTGTGTAAGAACCAGTGTTGGTCAAGTTACTTGAAAAAAGTAATCAGTAACTAATTACTGATTACTCCCCCAAAAAAGTAATCCCGTTACTTTACTGATTACTTATTTTCAAAAGTAATTAATTACTTAATTACTTAGTTACTTAGTTACTTTTTAAAAACACGATTTACAACCTGAATAGGTGATAAAGTGATAGATCTTTCAGCCCAATTCTACTTTTTCTACATAATCCATCATACAAAATGTAATCAAATGGAAAAGTCTCTTTTTTTAACTTGTTTTATCAGTTTTAATCTTTTAACTTTATGCATCAAGCAAAACATTTAATTATATGCAACATTCTCTGACTTGAATAAATTAGTTTAACATTTAAACCTATTTTCTACACATTCCAGCACATAAAATAAATATTTTTTGTGTTTTCACTCACTCTTTCAAACAGATGCAAGTAAAACACAGCAGAAAATAAATAAAGTCAAAGACTCAGCGGTCCTTTTGCTCTATTTTCACCTGTAAAGCAGGAGCAGGGTAGGCGGAGGGTTACCCTGGTGCAGGTGTGCTGCGGTCAGTTGAAGAATCCGCGCGAGTGTCTCTGTGAATTCCCATCACGTCGTAGCTACTCTGTGCTTGCTCGGAAGTTTAGGGGTTTTTTTCGCTGTAAAAAGAAGTTTTCTTCCCACGCACGATGGACGCTAATGTTTTTGTCACTTTTTATGGAATCAAACTCAAAGTAAGGTCAGTACTTCCACACTTTAAACGCTGCACGCTCATACTCTCTCCCGCACTCGATATATTATCCATTGTTGATCTGCACACAGCTGCTGTCACCAACGTTGCACTTGCTTACGTCACTGTCATGAGACATTCTCGCAAAAAAAAATCACGGTTTTAGTAACGCAGTAACGCAGCGTTCCTACGGGAAAGTAACGGTAATCTAATTACCGATTTTGCAATAGTAATCCCTTACTTTACTCGTTACTTGAAAAAAGTAATCAGATTACAGTAACGCGTTACAAGTAACGCGTTACTGCCCATCTCTGGTAAGAACCATATGTGTGGGTCAGTACTGTGTGGTGGTGTGATTGAGAGACCGTATCGCCTGCGGGAAGAAGCTCCTCCTCAGTCTCTCTGTGTTGGTCTTCAGGGAGCGGAATCGCTTTCCTGACCTCAACAGAGAGAACAGTCTGTTGTTGGGATGGCTGAGGTCCTTCACGATCTTCCTGGCCTTGGTCCAGCACCGCCTGCTGTAGATTGAGTGCAGGTCAGGGAGCTCGGAGTGGATGGTGCGCTCAGCTCAACCCTCTGTAGAGCTCGTCTGTCCTGCATGGTGCTGTTCCCGAACCAGGTTAAGATGTTTCCCGCCAGGATGCTCTCTATGGTGCACGAGTAAAAGTTCCTGAGCACCTTGGAGGGCAGTTGGAAGTCTCTCAAGCGTCTGAGGTGGTAGAGACGCTGTCGGGCCTTTTTCACCACGGTGTTGATGTGACAGGACCATGACAGGTCCTGCGTGATGTGAACTCCGAGGTATTTGAAGCTGTCCACTCTCTCCACTGGGCACTCGTTGATGACGGGGGTCTGGTAGTTCCTCTCCTGCTTAGTGCTGAAGTCCACTATCAGCTCCTTTGTCTTACTGACGTTTAGAAGACGTTTTTCTTGGAACTGACCGTTTTCATAGTAAATCTTTTTTTTGTTGTTGCTTTGCTTTGTTTTTTTTTTTCTGTTAAGCCACTTAACACTGACCCATGAATCATTCAAGCATAATAAAATCTCCTACACATAACAGAGAATAGGACAAATTGTATCTTTAAGGCACTTTGTTACTTGAAGCCTGTTGCAAAAACACATCTTCTGTTCAATTTCTGTAGTTAAATCTATGAAAAATGCCAATGATAACATAAAATAGTAGTTTTGGCGTAGTAATGTGATTCCCAAAGAGCTATTAGCTGAAAACTCGGCATATCCCGGCATGGTGTGCAGTTTGTCCTTAAGGATTTTAGGAAACTGCTGAAGAAATCCAGCAAAGACTTGACACAGGACCTGACAGATGCATCTGGTGCTTAAGTTGATCCATCTACTGTTCACTGAAGCCTAATGAGAAATGATCTCAATGAAAGGAAGAAGCCAAAGGAAGAGAAACAGGGACAAAAGGCTGAGGTTATCATGTAATGCCAGATTTTACAATAACTAAACTAAAAATGAGAAACAACAGATGGAGTGGTGAATCCAAATATGAAATACTTGGTTCAAGTATGTACAGAGGTCAGGAAAGAGGTACAACATAGAGTGTGTACAACATGGTGGAAGCTCTATCATGGTTTTGGGCTCCATTTCGGTCAGTGGTGTTGGAGATCTTGTCCAAATTGATGAACACAGAAAAGCACCATCAAATTTGGATCCATCATGTAGTACAATCTGGAAAGCTTCTGATAATGTTTTAGCATGACAACGATCCCAAACACACTGCCAATGCAATAAACACACAGTGAAACACTACCAGTCATGAATTGGCCTCCCCAGAGCTCGGACCTCAACAAGCAGTGTGGGATCGTGTTGACAAAGAACAGAAGAAAAGAGGCAGCCAACATAAAGTCACACCAATTATTGCCGTTCATGTTTGTTAGAATTGTACAAACTCTGTTTTTGCCTCACATACTGTGTGTTTCCATGCATGTTTGCACATGCTTCAATAAATCCCTGCACCTGTTTCCTATTTCTATAGCACAATATAAAGAAATAAGAGGTGGTTTGAGTCTTTTGCACAGGTCTTTAAATAGGAATTGTGCTTTTTACAAGCATGGGGCTAAATTTAGCTGTTCAAAAACACAATAAATCACACAGTGATAAAACAAAAAGTAATGAAATACATCAGATAAACAAGGACTATAGCTTATGGAGCTTTAACAGCAGAGCGGGCAACGGAGGAAACTATTCAGCTTAACGCTGCAATGTATTCAATACTGAATAAATTAGGTATGACACTGCTGTCTGTTGTGTTGAGCTGTAGCTCCTTTTTTCAAGCTGCTGTGGTGTTCCTAGCCTTGGGCTCGCTGTATTAAACAGAACTGTCACCAAGTTAATACCGCCATATGTTTTTCAGCAACCCATGAATAATACAAAACATTTGATTGTTTGAATAGCAGATATAAACTCGCTCAGCATCATGTGCTCATGCCAAATAACGTCCAGACAATCTGAGAGGTTTCGAGCTCACCAGGCCCCTGCAGTGATGAAAAGTCGCAGGACTCATGTATTTGGGTAGGAATCTACTATATATGTATGCGTGCATTTGTTGGCCATAGTGTTGACCTTTCTGTAATTTTTTTAATGAAAAATGATTTCATAGAGCATGTGTACTCACCAGTGTAGCGTCACTGCGTGTGTTTCATTCTGTGGAAACGGTAATCAAGGAGGGATTCATCCGGCTCAGCTTTTCCGTGACAAACGGCTGCTGCTGAGTGTCACAGGCCCGCTGAGAGGCCATTAGCATCCTACCTGCCTTACCTGTGGTGGTTTCTATAGAAACACATATGAGGGTGGAAGGTGTTTTTGCACTCACCTTTGAGCCTTGGTAAACAACAGGAAGTTCCCCGGTGACTAAACTGATATCGAGTCCACTCAGCCAGTCACAGCAGTGCCCCGGAGCCTGTTGGAGATATGAAATGATCAGCTGCTGGCAGAAGGACATTTGACTTTCAGATAGAGAGGAGCTTGTTAGGTGGATATACTGTACAGGAGGTAGCTCAGATAGGAGTGGGCATGTGGTTGAACACAGATTCTCCCCGGAGGTCATCCAGCATCCCCATTAACATTAACCTGCACGGTGCTCGCAGGCGGCAGACACGGTAAGAGCCGGCAATCGACTGGGCCAGGCAGCAACACTTTTGGGTTCATTATGAAGGAAAAGCACGGCTGAATTTAAACAGAGCTTCACATTATACACGCTATAGGTGCTCACTGGGTATGTATAAAAACCAGTTTGTGGTGACATCAGTCAGTTCATACTGCATTCCACTGATTGGGCATAGGATTACTACTATAAGCCTGGAAAATGTACATCTTCTGTTTGTAAAGTTTTAAAAAAAAGCCTATATTTTGTATCCTGTCCTGCCTCCAACAGGTTACAAAACCAGTAAGTTTCATGACATCCTGCTGGTCTGTTAATGGCGTCGGTTAAAAAGAAATATTGTATAAATATACAAACAACTGCAGCAGTCTGTAACAGATATGCACTGTTGTAAACAAAGGACTAGTCAAGATTTTAGAAAAAACGATTCAACATATATGCATGTGTGAGATTACAGCACATGCACAGCACAGAGTATTTCTAAATGTATGGCTTGAAGGGGAATGATATATCAGAAATAACCTGTATACACTCACCAGCCACTTGCTACACGTTGCTAGTACCAGATCAGCCCCACTTTTGTCTTCTTTCGTTTTAATTGCTCATGGCACAGATTCAACAAGGTGCAGGAAGCATTCCTCAGAGATTTTAGTTCATCGCACAGGTTGTCAGCTGCACATCCATGATGAGAATCTCCCATTCCACTGCATCCCAAAGGTGCACTGCAATGTTCAAGAAACCAGTTTGAGCTGATTTGAGTTTTCTGACACGGTGCATTATCCTGCTAGAAGGAGCCATCAGAAGACGGGGACACTGTGGGCATAAAGGGATGGATGTGGTCAGTAGCAAAACTGTGTTAACAAAATATCCCATGAAGCTGAACTGTTGATACAAGGCAGGCTAGATCCATGCTTTTGTGTTATTTATACCAAATTCTGATCCAACCATCTAAATGTTGCAGCAAAAATCAAGTCTTATCAGACCAGGCAACATTTTCCCAGTCTTCTGTTTTCCCATTGTAATGTAGCCTCAGTTTCCTGCTCTTAGATGACAGGAGCAGCACCCAGTGTTGTCTTCTGCTGTTGCTGTAACAAATCTGCTTCAAGATTCAACCTGTCCTGATCTTCTGCTTACATTTGGCTTACATTACATCTGCTTACGAGTGGTTATTTGAGATACTGTTGTTTTTCCATCTCACAGCAGTCTGGCTAGCCTATGTTTATATGGCTAGATGCATTGCTTGCTGCTGTGTGATAGGCATGAACAAGCAGCGAACAGGTGCAGCTAACAAACTGCCGATTAAAGGAAATACTAAGGCCCACATTATTAACACAGGACTAATTAAAATGATTCCTCCAGCTTGACCTCTAATCACTGATTTATTGTTTATGGGCAGTGTTTTTCTCTTACAGTGTTCATGTCTAGCTAAATAAGCTAGTTCCTAAACTAATGACCTTCCCATGAGCCTCTGCTGCGCTTCCTGTTTATTGCTAATTAGCAAGTGGTACAATGGCATGCTACCATGCTAAGTGGCGTTTAGCTCAAACCACCCGTATTTTCAAACACAGCCTTACAGAGCTGCTAGCATGGCTCATTTTTTTGAAGTATTGGTTACATTTTGTTGTATTTCATTTCATTTTTATCACTTACATTACTTTAAATACATTTTGTATGTAAGTCATTTATTGTTTTAAAGAGTGTAAAATTAACCAAACGTGAAATCATTTAAGTTTGAATCACTTCTGAATTAAATCCCTGTATGTGTGTGTGTCTGTGTGTGTGAGGCCCGGGGAATTCTGCCACACTATGGTGGCTCAGGACCGCGATCGAAGCCGAGGAGCTGACGGGCACGGAGAACAGGGGATTCGGACACAGGTGCCAGGTGCAAGCGTCGGGGAGGACCGCGCCATCCTGCTGGGCTGCACCATGATGGCCTTCTCTGTGCTCATGTTCTTTGTAGTCGGCATCACAATGATCAAACCCTTTGTTAACAGGTACACTGGGGAGTGTTGTCTCGTTTCCAGGCTCAGTTACAAATGCATCCCCTCACTGAAGGCTTGTTCTCCCCGTGTCTGTGCGTCCAAAGACGTGTGTGTTAAGAGTGAATGCGAGTGTGAATGGTTGCCTGTCTCTCTGCGTGTTAGTCCTGAGATAGAGTGGTGACCTGCCTCTTGCCCCGTGACAGCTGGTGTATATTTTTCCTTCTGCTGAGCTTTCTTAATCATTTTGAAAGATTTCTCCGCAACAAACTGATAAAAGGCACTTAAAAACACATGACATGTGATTGTTGTTGCACCCTATTCTCCTGCAATAGCTTTTACAAGTTTTATTGGCATTCACCATCAGTTGTGTCACATAATCTCCTGTCAGAATAACAAAGCCGGTATAACAGGAATCACTGATGATGCTTATGCTCTGTATTCCTGCATGGGATTTTTATTCCAGTAGTTTTTCTTGCCTGTCTGAGAGTTCCCAGAAGAATTCAGCACAACAATGGACAATGACCGACAGACCAATGACAGACGATGCTGAGCAAGTCTAAAGCTTCCACGTTCAGGATCTTAATTTAACTGTTAACATGCTAAATATTGGCTAACTGCACTGAACCACATAGATGAAGTAAGAAATTATAAAAACTTGGGCAGGAACCCTGCTTCTGTGGAAAAGTTGATGGGTCAGTCTATCCCACACTAATTTTGCTACTACAAATTGCAGTAGCAATCCTTTATGCAGCTGTTTTAATTAGTGCCATTGAGGTGTGCATGTGAATTCTGTAAGTCTGAAGGCTTCTCTGAAGCTTCCCTGCTGGTTGTCTTCCAGTGGCTGGGATGATGGTAATGCCAGCTGTGTGCTGCAGAAGAGTGAGATACTGGAGGAGTGGGTGGACTGCAGAGGTGTGAGCACAGTGCCGTGCCTCAAGGCGACGGTGACGGTTTACTTCAATGGCTCCACCGAGGAGGCCGTGCTCCACTTAAATGAGGATTCTGTTCTCCTCGCGACCGAGGTGTGGATTTAAAACACAAAATTCCAGGTTTTAGGAATTGTTACATGAACTGCTCAGGAGGAGGACATCAGCTCTGGAGCATTAAATCTGAATATTAGGTCTTTATATCTATATAGCACAGCATGTAAGATTACTTTGTTTAGTAATTCTTAATTTTAATTCTCAGGTGTTTTATTATCCATCTAAGCATGGACCTGGGAATGCATGTGAGAAAGCGATGAAGGCTGAAGTAGCTGACAGGATGGAAAAGCAGCAACACTTTTAATGCCTGTGCCCTTGTGAATAAGCCAGTAGATATTATTAGGAGATGCTCTCACACTGCACTTCTGCTCCATTCAGAGAGATGCTATGAAGTATTTTTCGGCACCGGTGCAGAAAACGGAGGCTTGTAAATTCCCTTTGCTTTTTTTAACAGACACCAAAAAAAAAGACCCTTGCAGCTCGTCGCACTGATTGCAATCAGTCCTGCCAACTGTAAGGGGTAGGTCACTTGATAAAAAATTACACTTGAATCTTATCTTTTTCTCTCTCAGTGTTTCTACATGCCCAAATGCCAAATGGACAGAAAAGCACTTCAGGATCAAGTCCAGAAAGTGAACGGCAGCCTGGACAGTCTGCTCGGGAACAACACCGCATGTTTAACTGATCAGACGAGGTACCCCAACCACGCCATCTTACGCAGGAAGTACACTTTGCAGATGGTCCTGTTTGCACTGCTGTGGCCCTGTATACTTCTGGGCGGTGGAGCTCTGCTGGTGGGCCTTGTGAAACTGACTCAGTGTCTAGCCCATCTGTCCACAGAGGTGATCAGTGAAGCTGCAGGGAGCCGGCTGACTTCAAGATACACTCAGGGCAAACTGTACAGGCTGCTCCGTAGGTCCAGCGCACAATCTCCCTCATGACATGTCCAGAGCTTTTGTAAGCCTTTTAACTGGTACATAAAGTTATCTAGTGTTGATTTGTAAAAGGTTAGTCAAAGTAAAATGTTGGTCTGAAGTGTGAGAATTGAAAATCTATACAGTTTTTGCCTCCTTATTAAAAAGTGCCTTCCTCTGTTATTAAATAGACACTGATGTCCAAATGTTGGCAGAAAGAAACAAAGTCTGCTTGACCAGCCACACCATTCATGATGTTTCACACTCAGTCAGCACCAATTAGTACCTCTCATGTTTAATTAGGCATATATTCAATATTTGTTAAGTGTCGAGCAGGTAGCGCTCCAACTTTCTCGGGCCAGGGATCACTTACAGGAGAGAAGCATTCCAATGCTCTCCTGATAATCCAAACACTGATTTATCTAGCCTGGGCTCTGGGTCACTGACTAATACTTTTTAATGTTTTCCAGATAGCAAGCTGGCTAATAAGTCAGTTTATGAGGGATGATTATTTGCACCCTGAGAGAAGTGAGGAAATTCGTGACAGATTGATGTTATGTGTCACAGTTGGATGAGAGTTTCTATTGGTCCAATGATAATATGCGAGGGAGTACTGGACACAATATATTTAGAATAATAACAGACTCTGCTTGAATGTCTTTGCATGATTCATGGTTAAAAATAATTCTCATCCTGGAGTTTTGTGTAAAACTCTCAATGCACTTCCCGTGTCTTTATGTTTCACTTCAAAGGATTCAGACTCTCTTGTTATTTTTAAAGTGCTTTTGAGAGATAGATCTACAGGTTTTTTGAAGCTTTTTCACAGTATCTCTTTTTGGACACTTGTTGTTCTTCATTCATTTTCAGTGCAATCCTTGAATAACTGAACATGTCCAGAGGATTTCTTCTTTGTTTGGTGTTTGTTTTTAAGCCACTTAACACTGGCCTATAAATCAGTCAAGCATAAAAAAGCAACTAACTCAACGGATGAACCAGTGTTGTGTCTACATGCAACAGACAACTTGACAAAGACCATTTTAAATTGTATCTTTAGGCACTCTGTTAACTTGTACCCATTTGCTTAGATGAAAAATTCTAAGAAAGATGTATAAAATAACAGAGACAAACATGAAGTAGTATTTTTACACCAACAAGGTGATTCCCAAAGCGCCAGTAGCAGAAAACATGACCTAACTCAGCATGGTGTGCAGTGTGCCCTTAAAAAACCATCTATAGCAGATGAACTGTATCTGAAAGTCATGTCTGTAAGAGATAATATCCAGAAAAGACCTGACACAGGACCTAAAGATACATCTGGCACTACTGTTCACTGAAGCCTAATAAGAAACAACCTAAGTGGAAGGGTGGGTGTTAAGATGCCTCTCTTAATGAGTGGACTGGACTTAAAATCAGTGGCAACTGACATTTTTTGTTAAAATCATTGTCAGTATGTATGGAGGAGTGGAGGAGAGAGGTACAACAGTGGGTGTCTACAGCCTTCTGTAAAACACGGTGGAGGCTGTGTCGTGGTTTGGGGCAGCGTTTCAGCCATTGGTGTTGGTGATCTTAACAAAATTTGTAGAACAGATCAGCATGAATGATCCCGAACACACTGCCAATGCAGTGAAAGTATACCGGGATAGAAAAATGCAGAATGCAACATTATCGCTCCCTAGATCCTGGACCTCACAAAAAACAGTAAACATCCAAAGATACGCTTTGAATGTCCTTCAAGAAGCCTGGAGAACTATTCCTGAGGACTACGCGATCGTGGCTCAAAAGTTGGCAGTTCGTCTTGTAATCGGAAGGTTGCCGGTTCGAGCCCCGGCTCGGACAGTCTCGGTCGTTGTGTCCTTGGGCAAGACACTTCACCCGTTGCCCACTGGTGGTGGTCAGAGGGCCCGGCAGCCTCGCCGCTATTGCCCCGGGCAATGTAGCTTGCCGTCACCAGTGTGTGAATGGGTGGATGACTGAACGTGTAAAGCGCTTCGTGGTCCTTAGGGTAAGGCTAAGTAAAGCGCTATACAAATACAGACCATTTACTTAACAAAATGACAAGAAAGCTGCCCAAAAGGGTTCAGGCTGTGATGAAGAATAAAGGTAGTCATATAAAGTACTCACTGCCAACCTTCACCTTGTATACAGTTTCCATGTTTTTACTTTTCAATAAATGTATGCACTTATTTCTCAATTCTGAGCAACATATAAAAACATGAGGAATGACTCAAGACTTTTGCACAGTAGTATCAATTACGGTACTCTTACCGTAATCATTTAATGTTAGATAATGTTAATGGGAGTCATTTCACAAGTGTGCCATATTGCACAGACCCTTCTAATAAGTCTTTTTTTGTATTTTTCTATGGAAACCTTTATAATGCTTCTCTTCATGGCTTTGGCTCACTGTGTAAATATTATTCTGGAGTTGTTTTTTTGTAAGCATGGAAATGAAAAAGTGGCTTGTAAATGACCTAAATTTTTAAACGAGTAAAATAAACTGACAGACTTATTCACGAGGAGAAATGTTTTTATTCAACAGCACAATAAATGAATGCATACAGACATGGTGATATGAGGATGACTAAAAAGAAGTATTTGAGGTGTTTTTTTTCTGACATATACAGGTGGAAAGATAACTAGCATGGGTCTGGATCATTTTAAAACATGCAGGGTAGTTTCTTTGTACGCGTTGTGCTTAGAGACTTCCACTTGGGGCAAAAATTCCCTCCACTTGATGTGAGAATGGTACTCCAACTGCAGCACCAAGTCCTTGTCCTTCAGTCACATCCTTTTCGATGACAAGAGGCTGTTTGCTGGATTTTGCGTGAGGATGGTGAATGTTACACGTGACTCCTCCTTTTTTTTTTTTTAACTTTTTTTTTTGCCTTTTTCCTGGTTAGCCGTTACTCATGAGATTGCTTACATTTAAAAAATACAAAAATATATTACCTCTGTAGTTATTCAAGGAAAGCATTTGCACACGTATCAGTATCTGTTAACTTCACTGTGACTTTGTTGTACCTTAAACAAGTAACAAGGTCATTTCTATACATGAAATTCAAGTAGACAACATCAGGTCGAAGAAAAAAAAAAAAGTAGATAGTCATGCATAATGCAGTGTGAGAAACAAAACAAGTACAAAGGGAGAGAGCGTGGTTTAGATAGGGCTTCTATAAAGTATATGTGAGGGTTAGTTCTGTCAGTTCGGGTCCGGCCCACTGCTCTGTATCCCGTACAGAAGCGCGTGCATGTCAGTCGACAGTTTCCTGAGCAGTTTTAAGTCCTCGCTCAAACTTCGCTTACTTTAACAGACTTAACGTTTCCAGGAAACCGCCCTGTTAGGCATCACTTTAGTAAAGCTACAACATTTATGGACGCGTACGAGAGTCTGTGCAGCGATAACGCCGGCCACGCTTCCACGCACAGGGCAACAATCACAGGTATGGAAGAAGACACTTGGAAGGTTTCAAAAATATAACTTCGGATACTTTTCTTTCTTTGCTCTCTGTGATTGAGAGCAAAAAAGTTTTGTTTTTTGTTTTATTTTTTAAACACATGGCTTAGACCGAAGCTCCAAAGTTTCTCAAGGACAAGTAAAAGGCAGGGTGCAGAGGTGTTTTGCACAGCTCTTTCTGCTGGGAAGTAGACGATACTGTTACACGGCAACTTAAGTGAGTTTTTTTGGGTTTTTTCCTTCTTCCATGCACTTTCTATACAAAGTCCACCGACGGTTCTCTGTGCAAGCACGCCAGGGGGAAGATGCGCTTCCCTCTGTGCCCGACATCAGTATACAGTACATGTTATAGTATTATGACTTGCATAGAGTAACTGCACAGCACACGAAATGAACACCGCACATCCTTTGTTTCCCACCCGTGTTAGCTAAACGACAATAAAACCACCAAACAGGAAAAAACAGGGATCTGCTGATATCGAGTTATCGAGCCTGACGTTTATCGACCTGTCAGTGTCGTCCAACATGAATCTGGTGCTGGCTAAATGTTCCGAGACTCTGTGATGAGGATGACCTTAAAAAATGTTTTTTCTAACTAACGTATTGAGCAAAAACTTTGTTTTCCTGAAACAAACTAGCGCAATACAAAAACAAACAAAAAGGGGGGAAAAAAACAAAAAACGCTTTTGGCCAAATTCATATTTTGGGGCATCCAAAAAAGAAAAGAAAAAGAAAGACGAACCCTAACCAGCTGGTCATCAGAAAGGTTTTCTCGGGTCCATGTGCACTGAATAGATGACACGTTTGTGCCTCTACATGTGACACAAACTAATACTGACAGAAAAGAAAAAAAACAAATACTGCAGACATCAGTGCTAAGAGTACACACAAGACTTGGAATAGTAGTGATTATTTGGGGGGGGGTTTGTTTGTTTTTAACAATAAGACTGCTGACTAGTGGAGTTATGCATGTAGTACTTTGGCTCAGTAGAGAATAGATTCAAAAAGGAATATGTGCACCAAATGCATACAAGTATATGGATATACTGCTGTACAAAAAGTCACTTATATGACGGGACATGATTTGTACACGGGTAGGTTACAAATAGGTCATCATTGCAATTTCTTCAAATAGTGTTAAATGCTTAGTTGAGGTTTTCCCAAAAAACTTTGAGGTTTGTTCAGTGTTTATATAATCTTATTGGAAAATTCTGAGAGTACCTGGCAGGTGAGCTGCCCGCTGCAACAACAGCCCCATCTTCACCTGGCCCCGCCTTCATCAGTTCAAAAATAGGTAGTTGAAATAATTCGGTTTCAATCTCTCTTTATAAAAAGCTAGCTGTGCTCATCGTGTATCACTTCATGAAGTTCCTCTCTTAATGTTGATGGTTGTAGAAGCTTTGAAAATAAAAAGATAAAATGTAACCTGTCTATACTTGGTTCACATAAAGGCCAATGCTGTCCAGGTCCACGCTAGCTTAGCTCCTATGAAGACAACAGGTGAAATTTAACTCCACCTTCTTAAGTTCATAATGCAGGGAGAGAAATTTCAGAAGGAAAAGGAGCATTTAGGCATTTCTTCTGAGCGTGCTCGTTTTGAGTCTCGCTGGCAGGCAAAGTTTCAGAGTCAAGCACTGGCAGAAATATTCACCAGGCCTTAGTGTGTTAGGGGAAACAACTTGCTTATTTTTTATTGTTCTTGTGGTTCTTCGTGTCCTGCTGCTGCCACCATTC